CCCCCACCCACTCACCCTCTGTGCGCCCGAAGTAGGGGCTCAAAGATCACCTCCATGCACTCTTGGATAATTTGTGTCTTCTCCGTCGACGACGCCCACTCTGGTGGGATCGGCAGCACACCCGCCATAACGTGCCCCAGCTCCTGCCAGCATAGCGCTTCAGGTATGTTGAACAAACTGATCAAGACCGACCATGCCGCCAGTCTGCCATTCCTTGAGGCGTGCGTGCTGTCGCTGTACACTATCACACCGAGCACAAGGCAGTCCTCGTCTCCAATCAGCGCCTGCGTACATGGTGCACCCAACCGTTAGTGAAGGAACGCACGAGGGTTTCTTCGCAATCCATGCAACTTAACATAGTACATACCGGCGCTTCTTTCAGCCACTTCCCCGTGTCGGGAGTGCTGTAATGCCGTACTGTGTCAGTGTCCTCCGTGTCCGCACGAGGCTTGGTGACAAAGCCCGCAATGTGCTGGAATGCGCGGAGAAATTTCTTCACCAGCTGCCACACGCATGCCAACACGGGGTTAATGGTCTGCGCTATTTCTCTACCCGCAAAGTGCCCCTCCATTGGCCCTATTTCCGGGCAGGTAAACATCCACCCACCATCTCCGTATCCCGGTAGTGCAGAAGCAGCGTGCACATCCTGCCTCTTGGACCATAGCACTTGATGTTCTTTGTCTTCCAGGGGACCTGATCACTTGGTGCCTGTCGCGTCCAAAACATCTCACGTCCACAAAATTCAGCCACCTCCTCACGTCCCTCAACGAGAAATTAGGGTTATGAAATATGTTCACCTCCCTTCTCGACAAATCGGCCTCTCGGAAGAAAATGTACAGCTCCACCAGAGTATTAAAGCCGTCGTCTGTCGCGGACATGACACTCTCCTCCTCGTCGATATCCTCCTCAGTGCCTTCTGGAGGGTCGGGTTGATCGATAACTGCAACAGGGTCCACTGCGGCCCCTGAAGCCGAGTCGCCTTCATAGCTGCGTCGAGAACGCACGGGTGAACGAGGCCTTGCTCCCCGCCTGGCGCGCAGCGCGTCCCGATACGCCTCCACCAGCCACTGGGCACGGGAGTGTTGTATCTTCCTCCTGCACTTGACATTGTTAGACACATGCGGCTGGAGCGTGTTGTCGTCAACGTGCTCCACGCCGCAGGCCTCGCATGCGTTACCCAGCATCGCAAGAGGTGGCGCAAACCCTAATTGCAAGTTACCGATGAACTGTGCCTCTCGGACACACACCAAAATGTACCAGCATCTCCCCCGGTGCTGGTATGACCTTCCAAATCGGTGCTGGCGACCTTGTTAACGGCGAGGAACGGCACGTGTTCCCGTTTTTTGTTACATTACATGTGGTCGGTGAAGCCGAAGCAAGTACCTCGATTTGTCTCGGTTGATTATGCTCGTCCAACAGTTTGCTCCTACACGTGAGCTCGGTGGACCGTGCAGTGCAAACGGTACACCACAACCCCTCAACCATGTACAATCCCGAATGACACCTCTGATGAACTGCCTTGTGTGCAAGACCCCGGCTTCCAACTGGTCACTGTACAATGGCTCCATCCAGGCCACTCATCTCACCTGCTTTCGTCGCTGTGCAAATTGTTGGTGGCGCACAGGGTCCGAATGACATTACTACATGTGTCCACATCACGAACGTAGGTGTACAAGAGTGGTTATGGATGTGATTACGTGGCGGATAATGTCCGCGTGTACATTGGCACTGTCAGTCCTCAGTGCCTCTTTCTAGAGTAAGCTAATTGCGCTTATATCCACTGCACTGGAGCTGGTAGTGCACTCTATCCCACAACCATGGCTGAAATGGCCCTCCTTCTCGATGTGATAGAGGCTCATCCTGACGACGTGTACTGTTTCGTGGAGGAGCCTTTCTTGCCCACCAGGCTCCCCTTCCGTGACTCGGAGGATGGACGCGATGACCCGCGGCCCGGCTGGCACCTCAATGTCGGCTTCCTGTTCAATGCAACAGGCTCAATCATGTGTCCGCCTCTCCTAATGTTTCGCGCGGACGACGCGATTGCTCAGGGCCTTGAAACACCCCCCGGTTATCCTGTGTTAGTGCGCCATAGCTTGGACGGGTCCGTCACGCCCGAGGTGGGAGATCTCATGCCCAAACCCCGTACATCCAGCGAGATGCATTAACCTCCGTGTGAAATCCCTGTTACTGACCATTTTGTCTAAATCTTCGCGTTTACTGCTTGGCAGATATTCACCGAGTACCTCGAAGCATTGAACGGGAAGTCGTACTCGACAGACGATCATGTCATCGTCCTCGTGACGCATGACGCCAACTCGTCAACGGATCCATCTGCTCTGGAAACGACGGAGCACGGTTTCCGCGTACAGAACTTGAGCAACCTCCGAATCATTCACATGCAGGGTCCGGCGCCGAGGTGCATCCGTCCCGGGATGTGTGGGATTGTAGAGTTGTGGAAGACACTATACCGTGGCTCATACCTTCGCCATTTGATGCCGACTTTAGAGTGGCGCGCCGGGACTGTGTTCCTTCTCCCTCCCCTCCCACTCATAATTCTATGGATGGGGTCAACGTGGAGGGACATTACTCCGGTTTCGGTCCAACTCAGCTGGTGGCGTGCGGGCTGTGTGCCGGCATCATGGCGAGCCGCCGTGGGGGAGTTCAAAAACCCCATTCTTAGTGTCCTGTTCGAACCTCGTGTTCTGGAACTGGGACAGCTGTAGTACATCATAGACGAGTTCGCACGGCGCGGCGACACTCTCATGCATGCTACGGATTATGCGCACTGCGAGCAAACCCTGCTCCCGCCACGCGCTCAGCGCACCAACAATGACACCCTCGCCGCCGAGGACGGGCACGAGATAACCCTGCACACGCAGTCTGGACCGCTACTGAATGACAGTCGTTGTCGCAGGCGTGTGGCGCGAGTCGTCACCAAATATCTTGTCCGTCAGGCCCTCACGCTTGGCATACATGTGCGAGATGCGCCAAAGCGGCGTCAAACGCATTGGTCGTCAGTCGTCTGCGTCGGACTCCTACTAAGCGTCCCCGTCCTACGTCTGTGACCGTAATGTGAGGACTACGACCCTAGCATGAGGCTAGTTGAGTCGCGGGAATGGTGTGGGGGGCCGGGGAGTTTGGTTTAAAATGGTGTTCACTACCTCGTGAGAACATTGCTAGGGTGTGTCGTGCTGTGTTATGTTTTATGCTACGTGCAAAGATCAGCATGTTCGTGAGGTGTTTAGCCATGTTACGCGACTGTGTTAAATGAGTTTGTGTGGATAGGGTTTGAATGTCACATTGGATTGGCGAAACATATGTTCGCTTCGTTGTGGTAGTCAATGTTTGCAATGTTTTGGACATGAATGTGAAAGTTATAATCTTAACAACACACATTTTGCATGTTTGATCATCCACAAACAATAGCGAGTATGGCCCATCGCACCCTCGTGATTGCAACCTTGCTTCCACATCCAAGCTCATCCCGTAGTCCTCAACGAGAACATGAGGCATGCTACGAAATCATGACACGTGTGCCCACCATGCATATCCAAGGTTCCGCGCCAATTTCCCAGCTGGATCTGGCGTGCACTGGGAATCTCTGTTTGCCTTGTCCATTCTGTAGGTTTCGGAACACCCACAGACTCCGCAGAGCGTGAACGTCAACTGCCAAATATAGTCGCCCGTTGGGCTGCCATTACAACAGACTAGGTTTCGTACTATCAACTCCCTGTCTATCTCTCGTGTCTACCAAATTAATACGCGTCTGGGTCGTCTAAGTGCACACGATGAACATACACCGTATGCTGGTGCAGCGAGACAACTCTTCATGCGCGGCCAGTGCCCTGACATCGCAGGCGACGGAGCAGGATCGCCGACAGCGCAAGGTGAAGCAGGAGCCGCCTCACCCTCGTACCGTAACATCGGCGGCCAGCTCCGTGAGGGCCGCAGGAGAGGAGCCACCGCCGCCAACTGACGATGTCGTGGCCCGTCTTGCCCGCCCCAACTATCAACGGGATTTTCAGACGCTGGTGCTCTACGGTCCCCATGGTGTGGGGTGTCAGCTGCCAGCCCAGGACGTTCTGACCCTCGCAGACGGCCAGTGTTTGGCCGACACCGTTGTGGACTTCCATAACGTGTAAGCGGCCAGCTCCGAATTCCCTTAGACATGTTACGCAAATTTTTTTCGTAACCATGCTGACGAGCCTTTTTGCGCCTCTGCGTTGTGTATCAGCCTTTTGAACATACGACATCCGAAGCTGGAGGGTGGCAAGACATGGTTCACTCTGGACACGAAGGCGTTTGTGTTCGCGACCTCCCTGAACAAGGCTTGGGCCCCTTGGCCGTGCACCGTGTATTTTCGCCCAGGATTACCTCGCCATCCCCGTGTACTACAAGTAAGACATTTTCCTCGTACTGTCATGCTATTGATGGAAGTCGGTTTCCCGTGCACGTGGTGTCACATGCGCGCGTCCTAAAATACACGTTGTGTACATGTGTCAGAGGCCACTACTCAGTGGGAAGCTATCCGAGACTGCAGGGGGCAGCGTGGAGCTAGTGCATTACGATAGTTTACAGTTGCACACCAAGAAGCCGGAGGTGATGGAGGGCATCAAGAAGTGGGTGGTGCATCTTATACATTTTTCCTATTGCATCTATCATAATTTCCCAGCTGCATCACTAACTATAAGGATAACCTGATTGGCAGGATGTTGCTCATGCTACACAAGGCACAGCTGCCCACCGCGGACCGGAAGCAGGCTGCGGACCACTTGAAGTATGCCAATGTCACCATCATGCATGTAAGTGCATTTCATGACGCTGTAACGACGCGGGCCCAGTCTGGTTTGTCCCTCACTGACGAGTACGTTCTCATGTTGTGTGTCTGCTGGCAGCCTGAAGACATCCCGACACAGTCGAACGATGTCGACTGTGGGATCTATGTTTGCATGTATCTTCACGCACTGGTTTCATGCGGCTTTTCAATCCTCAAGGGGTGGATGACGTTCTACGGCGCGAAGTCTCATGCCTACCGACGCCAGCTCCTCGAGGGGGTATCACTCCACTCCAGAGGTGACCTTATTGTCAAGCTCTTTGGGGAGGGTGTGGAGGTTCCCTTGCAGCCTCTCCCACAGTTGGGTGAACATGGTGCCCTTGTCTTTCCCAAGGAGGACGAAGTTCGTACCGACCTGGCGAAGCAGTCAGGCATGATAACCCGGATGGAGCTCGGGGGTTACGTTGTGTGTGCGGCGGTCATGGGTCTGGCACGGTCGCTTGGCATTTCAGAGGATCAACTGTTAAGTGGAGCGGCCCACGAGCTACAGATACATGGGACGCCTCTGCTGGCGCTGTCCACGTCAAAGAACCACGTGGATCACGCTGCATCGATGCGGACGCTCGGCATCACCATCCATCCGATCCCCTGCCCGCTTCCGGTGCCATCGTACGCTCCTGCGCATATCGATGGGGCATCTACCTTTCATAGGGACCCGTCACCAACAGAGGACCAGCCCATGAAGGAGGAGCCGGATCATCCAACAGCTCCTGTGACTCCGGCAGCATCAGGGAGCCTCTCGCGCACTCCCAGGTATAGCACGCGTCTGGGGTCGAGGGCTGCAGCGCGGCCAGTGCGTCAGACCAGCATGCTTTCCGCATACGGCAATCGGCCTGCATCGAGTCGCTGGACGGGGGAGAGTTGGTGCCTAAGGGGCCGAAAATGGGGGGTGTAGATGGTGTGCGGACCTGGCACTGGTCAGCAGATCAGGCTGGGAGCGTATACCATGGAGGACGATGCGGCGTATGCGTATGCAGCGGCAACATATGTGATCAGGCGCAAGGACCACATCCCGCACACGAAGGAGCTGTCTGACGTGGAGAAGGCATTCCTTCTCGGGTGTGTTCGCGACGACGTGAGGCATCTTGTCAAGGCATGGATGTGGTGGAGGTGGCGTCAGTGGAGGACAGCAATGGCAGAGCTGGGCATTGCTCCTGGTACTCCCTTCCCCCTCGATAACACTGGCGCTCGCTCGCGCGACAACATCAGTGGTGATGACGACGGGGACGACAGGATGGTACATGAGGTGGAGGCTGAGGACGAGGAGATGCCATAGACCGGGATAGGGTATCCGGAGTGCCTACCCACACATGAGCTGTGCAGGGGGGGACGCTGGAAGTGGCAGATTACACCATAGATGGCAGTCACTATCTGCGTGGTCGTGTATAGGAATCATTATACTATGTCTGAACACGGTGTGTGGTAAGAGGACGTACCTTTTTCATGTGTAATAGAAAAGGCAATGTATGGCTGACGCCCTGTGGAATCATTTGATTCACGCTTAATGATTCGCCTAAAAAATATGGTAATTTATGCATGACGGGGAGGACATGTACTCGTGTTGCCGATGTAGGGCAGTTGTTGTTGTAATGCAGAAATCTGGAAGATTAACTGTCTCGACTCTGTAACGAGTGCTGTGGATAACGTTGCGTCCCCGGTGTGCCATGCGGGCAAAACCCGCCAGATGACGAACGCAGTCTGGCCGACAAGAGAGTGCCACGTGGAAAGGGGGGCACAGCACAGCCGTGCCAAGGGTGGGTCACTGAATGCGTAAGTAGTGAACACTGTGTCCGATGGACTCATTCTTGCCCACAAGTTTGGTCTTGATGGACAGTTTCAAAGTGTCGTCCCGTGAGGGCAGGAGTCAGGGCGTGTCAGTGCCACCTGCCTACCTGCGCAACTCTTACCTTCTGCCTGGCAATGTTAGGCGTCAGGTGACGAAGAAGCCTCGTCTGGCTATTCCGGAAAGTGCCAACCAGCAGGCCCGAGGTCCACCCTCGTCGCCACGTGAGTGGCTCTGCGTTTCGCTTTGTTAATGTCTTTGGTCGTTCGTCTTTGAGATGCGGGTCGCTGTGACAATTTTACACGGTGTGCTTAGTTGTGATTTGCTCTCGTTGTTCTCTGTGTTTTGGCTTACCGCATGTGAGATGCAGCTGTGAAACCCTCCCATGGGACTCGCGGAGACTCGCATATGTCGCATGGGAGCACGTCCGAGAGTAGCTCCTCGTCGGTCCAGTCCAGCCGGCAGGTTGACGAGGAGCATGCAACCGGTGGGACGGGCCGCAGGCGTAAACGTCACGTTCAAGATGCCATCGAGGGTTCTGCACGTGTGAAGGGGGAACCTGACGCACCTCCGGCGCCATCATCGGACGACGATCCCAATGAGGCTCTCCCTAGGCGTAACCCAGTGCACACCGAGAACGAGGATGATGCGGAAGCAGACAACGAGGCTGAGGCCGACGCAGAACGTGCTTCGAATGACAGACCGGTCACGCGGGAGGAGCTGCAGAGCATGCAGGAGCTCCATGAAGCCACGGCACGTGCGATTGCAAGGCTGGAGACTGCGTTCCTTGCGAAACCCAAGGATGACGTCAAAAATAAGAGGAAGATGTTGGGTGCAAATATTTATTTTTGCACGTCAACCAGCCGCCTACGTCGCATTTTGCATATTTGTGTGTGTGCGCATTTTTCATTTTCATTTTGTGAACGTTCTGTGCGCATTTGTTCTTGCGTTTTGTGTGTTTCGTTTTTATTCATAAGTGCATTTTGTGTCTTTGCATTTTCAGTTTCGTTTTCACTGTTCTCATGAAGCTCCCATGAAGTGCTCAAATGAGGACCTCATGACGCGCTCAAATGAGACTCATGCGAAGCTCTCAAATGAGACTCATGCGAAGTCCTAAAATGAGGCTCAAACGAAGACCTTATGGAGCTCAAACGAAGCTTGCATGGGACTTAAATGCTTCATGCGAGGCTCATGCGAGCGAGCATGAAAGTCCCATGAGTCTCGAATTTTCATGCGAGACTTATTGGAGCCTCATGTGAGCGGGTGGTGTACCGAGGGGTGCTCGGTTCTTTGACTGGTCAAGGGGTGCCTTGACTTTTCTCGCGCTGGTCAAAAGCGCGAAAGTCAAGACCCGATCGTGGGTCAAGGTACGCGCATGTGGGACCACAGGGCACGCGCGTGGGCCGCGCACTGTTGTGAGCGTGCTGTACAGCACGATCGCAACAAGACAGGGCCAATTTCGGCCCTGTCCAGTACTGTACACGCGCATGATTTCGATCATGGCGCGCTGTAAAGCACGACCGAGAAAAAATCTCGGTCGTGCGTGTGGCACGAGGGGTGCTCGGAATTTACAGTTGAAAAACTGTTTTCCGAGTTGACTCACGGGACGGGAAATTTCTCGCGAAAGTCATTTCGCTTTGCGGAATCATTTCGACACAGGTGCAAATCGGTTACTCCGTTTTTCAAACGGTAAAAACCGTTATACAACTGTGAGCTCGCATGAAGACATTTGAGCTACATTGGAGCAACATGCGAGTCTCATGAGTGTACACATTTGAGTCAGCAGGGGCGATTGTTGCAAGTGCAATTTGAAGACAGTTTTTAACAACAGGAGGATATAGCCAAATGCTCAAGGAGTTGTGCAACTGTTTTCAAGATACAGCGTGGCGAAATCCTGCGAGCCAGTTAAACAACTGTTTTCTAGTTGCTCCTGCCTGTGCGTAGAATCTATATAAATGTGTACTTGTACCTGTCGAAATTAATCCAATGCATTCGCGTTTTTCAAGCTCGCATTCTACTACTTCGTATTGACGAGAGTAGAAATATTACCTTGGTGCTGCCGAAATTCTTCTCGACCAGTTTGCTCGTCCTACAAGCTCAGCAAGGCATAACTACTCACTTGCTATTTTCTATGCATTTGGCTAGGAGGTGACAAGCTGTCACACTCGAAGGGCTGCAAGTGATGTTAAGTGTTGCCAAGCAAAGTTTGTAGTTCAAGCTTTAGTCGCTTCCGCATAACGTTATAGCTGTTAACAGAAGAGGCGTCGGAAGCGCGGATCCGGCAAGGGAAAGCGCCGCAAGGCGCGGCGTTCACGCTCCACGTCCGAGACGGCGTCTGAGGAAGAGGGGGAGTTCGAAGAAGGGGATGATGGCCACATTCGACACTCCACCTCTACCATTCTGCAGGAGGCGCTCGGGCTCCTCCGGACCGACAAGGGGTGGAAGGTACGAATCAAGTGTTGGCGTGTCGCATACTATGGAGGACGTGTTGTACGCACTGCGGAACATGTCTGCCAGTTGTTGACGTAATGCGTAGTTTGACATTGCAGGAAATATGCGAGCAGGCTCGCATCGAGCTGTTCATCCGGCGCTCCAACTCGCAGTTGACGTTCTACCCCAGCAGCACAGCCAAGACCTGGGGCATCTGCGCAGTCGTGGTTAAACTGACCCCCAACTAAGCAAGCCTTGCACTCGCGGCGTGCAAGGCACGTCGGGTCGACCTGAACAGATTGTTCAGCGACTGGAAGACTGGTGCGGCAGGGAGAGTCTGGGACATATCGCTGCCTAGGATTGGGCTATTTCGCCGAAAACGAGACATGAAAAGCCCCTGGGCGACACGTTCGAGGCGCACCTTGTCCCGAATCCAAGATAGGGTCGGCCTTGGAGACGTGGCAACGGGTAAGGAAGTGCTGCCACAACCGGTGCGTCCGAGAGTTCATTGTACCTCTTTGGCTCACCGTTAATCATTGTGCACGCGGTGTGTGCTTTACGTGGCAGATAAGTTGGCCCTGTCTCAATGGAGTTGCGACCGTGACGGGATGCCGTTCCCCTCTGGTGCGTTTACTGCATGCGCGCGGGCGGCGTTCAAGCCACGGATGGTGATCGAGGGCGTGACACTGAAGCTCTACCACGTGGCATGGCTGGAGCACGTGGTACGTTAACATTCCGCCACATCACAACGTTAAGGATAATAGGGAGAATGTACTTATCTGCGATCGTATATGGTTTGCCGTGCGCAGGTCACAGACGCTATCAAGCACTGGGAGGAGCGCCAAGGTCGCTTCTCCAACTCCGCGGGCTCCAACGCGCAGATCGTGGACGGACTGCACGTCCTTGTCAAGAGTGCTGTTACTCGGGCCATCGAGGAGTTCCGGCTCGAGTATCACGCGGCGTCCCAAACATGGGCATGGGGCCGCCATGGTCTTCGCATCTCGGCGGACGGCATAGCGGCTGCCGCAGCGGTGAGCGCCGAGGCTAGCACCAGCCGCGGGACTCCGCAGGCATGATCGGATGAGAAACGCACGGCATTGTTTGCCAGCGTCGCGGCCCCTAGAAGTGGAGGAGCACCGTATGTCTAATGCTTATGGTGTGGTGTTGTCTGTCAACGGTCGTGTGCCGGTTGAGAAGGGACTGATTAAGGGTATTGGCCAGGCTATGATGCGTGTAAGAGGGATTAATGGCAAGTGCTTTTAAAATCGAGGGAACAATTAGTGTAGGTGAAATGAGTTATGGTCATGAGCAGGGATATAGATAACCCGTCAACCATTCCGCGTAACGTATGATGATGCGGACAAATGCGGCTAGTAGCGTAGGTTTACCAACATCAAATGCGGATTCGGATGAGTGCCATTGGATGCAGTTACATTGAGACCGCGATTCGGGTTGTGACGGTCCAAACCATCTCATCGTGTGGTTGTGCGTGGCGAACCCTAAACCAACTGGAGCCCTGGATGCACGTACATGGGAGCGAGTAGGGCCGTTGACTAATGGTCTCATGGACGCTCGGGGGCATGACAAGTGGGCCGGCATCGGTGGCTCCATGCAATGTGTAGGCCGTCCACGTGGGTGTCTATCCACGGACAAACGCGACTACACGTCGACACTGCTGGAATCCGGTTCGCAATGTCGCCAGCGAGGAATCGTCGATAAGTGGTTACGTGGACGGTCGGATGTAGAGGACGCTGACCTGTGTAGTCATCATGTACATTGTTGCAGCCGTACACCTTGGCATATTTCAACGGCATCCGTGGTGTACACGTAGTTTAGAGTCAAGGAAATGGATAGAGATTCGACCAATGGGAGGCAGGAGTGGTCGAGAGACGGCACATGAGCATTGGGTGCGAAGTCCGCAAACGAAGGGTGTGGATACAACTCCGGGGGGATCCTGGTCGTCCACATGAAGGCAGTTGGTTGGATGGGACTGTGGCCCGAAGCGCCGTGAATAGTACTGTGTTGTAACTTACGGGTTGTAATGATGACGTCATGCGTGCCACATGGCGGGTTGCTATAAGATTGTGTCTAATTGTGTCATTTGACGGTCGTTCAGAGGTGATAACCCCCGTGTGACGTGTACGTGACCGGCCGGTGACCGTGTCGTCACTTTGGATGTGACGTTATTGGAGCTTTTCTGGGACATTTCCGTGACATTCCCGTCACTTCTGAAGTGACATTGGGCTCGGTACTTCCAACCATCACCTTTGTACCCCAGAAAACCGTATACGGGGATGTGACGGAAAAGTCACTTTTTCGTCACTCTGGCCCTTGTCTTTTCCGCGATGTTCCCCTTAATCCTCCCCCCCCCACCTGCTCAATCCCCAGCGGAAAACCCAACGGCGCGCGCCCCACCCGCTCCCTCCATAGAGTCTTCATGCACTCGCTCCCCTGCCAATCGAGACAATGCCCTCCCCGCCGTCGGCGCAAGGGCAGGCGCCGCGCGCGACTTCGTTGCGCCCAGCCGGGCGCCCGCCGCCTCCCCTACGTTCCGCGAGTTCAGCTACGCGGAGCTGCACGCGGCGACGGGGGGATTTGCGCGCGTCATAGGTGAGGGGGGGGTCGGAACGGTGTACCGCGGGCGGATGATGCTGCCTGCGGGTGACGGCGCGATGAGGGAGCGTGAGGTGGCAGTGAAAGAGATGAAAGAACACCAATTCATTGCTCAAGAGCTCAAGACGTTCAAGGTGAGTGCTGTAGCGCGTACGAAGTGTTTATTTTTGTGGTCGGACTAGAGAAGGAAAAGGAGAAGTTTTAGCTTGAATTTAAGTCACAGAACGAACGAAACAGAAGCCATGTAGCGAGTTCTGTTCCTACGCGCCTCGCCTGTCCAGCTCAATCATGCCTCTGATATATTTCCATGTTTTCAGGCTGAGGTGGCAGCCATGTCAGCACTGAACCATTACAACATTCTGAAGTTGGAAGGTGTGGCGTTTGACGCGGAACAGAGGCCGCTTCTTGTGTATGAGTACATCCCGGGAGGCGACATTACAAATCTTCTCCAACAAGGTGAGCAACTTCCTCCCTCACGTAGTTACAGTGGTTTGGAGTTGGTAGTGGTGGGAAGGAAAACCCGCTTTGCTTGCCCCTTTTTCCGCTCCCCCCACCCTCACTCCCCTCTTCCTCCCGCTTTCCTGTTTTCTCCCCCACGCCCTTCCTCACATATGTCACTCACTCCTCTCGCTGATACAGCTGTCTTTCTTAATAGGACGTAATGACATCCCATAATCTCTCTCACGTTGACTGTTATCTGCATTTTCTTTCTCCTATGTTGTCTCGGTGTGTTAGGTCCCACTTTTTTGCTCCCGTTCTCTTCAAAACCCACCTTCCTTACCTACTGACCCCCGCCCCCCTATCCCGCGCCTGCACTGCTCTCCCTGCCCCTACTCCAGTCTGCAGGAACTAATTACGATTCATGCCTCCACTTTTTCTTCTATCCCCATTCTCCCCCTCGCCTTCCCCCCTCCAGTCCGCAGGAACGAAGATCAGTTTCCGTGGAAGGAGCGTGTGATGGTTGCGCTGGGGTGTGCTGAGGCGCTAGCTTACAGTCATAAAAAGGGGATCATTCACCGCGATTTCAAGTCGTCGAATGTGCTTCTGCGAAAGGTACTGCGGGATTGGTCCAGAGTGCGTGTGTGTATTTCTTCTCTTTGCTTTGCGTGTGTGTTTATAATACTTCTATTCCCAAGCATGACATATAAACCGCTTTTCAACTAGATTGCATTCGCTCCAAGACATGCTAAAAGTGTATCAGCAGCATTAGGTGATATTTCAGCCCGTCCCATTTGGGTTTAATTGGCGTATGATTCCCATTTCCCCCTTTTTCTTACCGTATGTTACCGTAACCTGTAACTCACAGTATCGCACCCCAATCGTGGCCGACTTTGATTTGGCTCGAGGACTCGAGAACACACGTGTCAACAAGGGTGGCAGGCACGTGGGTCTACATGGACCCGAACTATTCTCAGACGGGCAAATTATACCCGAAATCTGACACATATTCGTTTGGTGTGTTTCTTCTGGAGCTAGTTTTTGGCTACCCTCCTCATGGAAAAGAGTATATAGATCTGAAGAATGTAGTCAGCAAAAAGGATTTCAAGAATCCATTGTTGGCTGTCGACTATACTATGGAGGGGCAGTGGGAAAGGGAGCATGTTCTTAAAATAATTAATATGGCCCGCTCGGCCACATCCCCCGCGTTGGATGCACGCCATGAAATGAGGGCTTTAGTAGGGGAACTTCGGAGAATTTGGAGCAAAATCCAAGGTGACTACTATGGCTGACTTTTGTTAGGATGGGTAAACAAAACTCTGTTGGAGTTTATATGTTTTCTTGATGCCGCATGTATTAGCACCTTGGTTATTATTTTATGTCATTTTATGCCACAATCCCTCATACGGAGCCCCCCGCTGAAAAGAGTGTCCCATGGGTCTTGTACCATGGTATTAAATTTGTCTGGATGACACCGTCTTTTACGATATGTGTATTGTGTTAGAGTTTCGGCCGCAGACTTCCCAACCTCACCACCTTGTAATCTGCTACTATTGGAAACAATAAATTAACGCTTCTGATGTGTGTAACATCGAACTGTAAACGAGGCAACACTACTGCGCAGCCCGGGCGAGTCAACCGAGGAGGTTGACAAAAAGTAACATCCGGAGGTTACGCGAAGGTCAAAGGTCAGCGACCTTTGACTCGACAAATACAGCGCGACAGCAAGGACAAAAAACTGACTCGGTATGAGCAGTTGCCCGAGTCGTCACTGTATCGAACCGCAACAGCAACGGTAAAATAGTTTTATTGCATCCTTTCATATTCCTTTTATAAAAGCTTTGTATTAGTTTTCTATAATCAATCTATCTTGCTCTCACACACCAGTGCAAGGTGGTTCAACTACTTCAATTAGAACGCTTCCGCAAATACAATATTCCTACCAGAGTCTTAAGCCTTGAAAAGATCCTAAGGGCTTTTCTCAGCCCAACATGGTATGAGAGCAGACAAGGCAAGATTCAACTTCGTTAACCTCCGAAGCCATCAAAGGACATGGCAACACAGAAGGAGAGAAGCTCCTCTAACTGCTCTCCCGGCACTGCTCCTACTCCACCTCCAGCCTCTGGCCTACAGACAGAGGGAGGCACGACGACAAGACCAGCTGCTGAGTCTACTGAAACTCCCACGAACCAGCCAACCGGCTTCGACCCAAGCATGATGGAGAAATTCTTCTCCTTCATGCCTTCTACGAGCAGCACCAGCAAGCAGCACCTGCGCAATCAAGCAACAGCGACACCAATGTTGTCAACCCATGAGTCTTGACGGCTCATCCTATGCGCGCGGAAACCAGCAGCAACCTACCTTTGCTCCGTACGACCCTCAACGCGGCTCCATCAGCTTCATGCCACACCAGCAGCCCCAACCTGGACAAGAGAAGACACTGGACGCGCTTCAGGTTCAATCGCAGTTCGCACACGTACTGAAACTGCAGACATCAACACCCTTTGACGGAAAGGATTTTTACATCTGGTCATTCGAGTTTGAGCTCGTGATGGAAGGCGTGCAGATTCTCGGATTCTTCGACGGATCCCTGCGATACCCAACACACGGGACGCAGTACGACAAACAACAATACACATATCAATCGCTGATGGCGTACACAATTCTTCTACGAAACATCACACCGAACGAACAGCAGAACATCCGGTCTTATCGTGGATACAACAACTCCGCCGAGCTCGCGTACAACCACCTGAAGAACCTGTATCAAGCAACAGACAGCGTCAATCAGAGTCGTCTCATGGCACAGCTGACAACAGTGGAAATGAAACCTGGCGAAAAGGGAATGGCGTATATCAGCCGTTGTCGCGGACTGCGCGACAGACTCCTTCGATGCGGAGGATCGATATTTGAAGAAGCCTTCGTCACAGTCATTATCACTGGCCTCAGTCCCCATTGGCGCTCCACTCGAGCCATTCTTCGAGCTCATGGGAAGATCTCCGAAGCGGCACTTTGCGCCGAAATTCACGCTGAACAACAGGACATGGACCTGCACGAAGAACGTCACAAGAGAAAGACGTCAGTACCTGAGTTCGCGTTCCACACTCAACGGTAATACAACAACCACAACAACCGACAGAACGACACGTACCACCGTTCTGCCATATCTGCAACACGTCAGGACACCCTCGCACTCGTTGCCCAAATATGCAGCAGTCAACACCGCAGCAACGTCAACTTCGACCTTCGAGCAGCCAAGTGGCCTCCATACAGGCGCATCCTGCCAATCAAACGCAGTCCTCAACGACATCGACGACGCAACCTGCGCAAGGAACAAGAAACATCGTGAGTTGCATGGCGAGAATAACGGACTCCTGCATCACCGAATCACCACCACACTACTCACCAGAAGAACTGCTCGACGAAAGTACTCTTTGCCGAGAGTCATTGGAGCTGTACCCGACGTACGCAGCCATCGCCCAGAGCGAGCCGTCCGGGAAAGAAACTTGGTTCTTGGACAGCTGCTGCGGACAACACATGTGCTCTTTGGGTCGTTTCGTTCAACGAGAACACCAATTGCAACGCGAAGTCGTAATCACTATCGCCAACAAACAGAACCTGCGCACACGACGACAAGGGATAGTCCAACTTCAGTCACGGGAAACCAACGCTATTCTACAATGTCGAAGGTTTTAATCGTAGAAGGACTTGGCTACAACTTACTCAGCGTCAGTCAACTGATGGCGAAAGGAATTCATATCGAAGCAAACAGCACCAGTCAGGAGTTCAAATTGTACCACGGGAGGGGTGGACTCTACATCGGCAAGGCAGTCCTGAAGAATAATGTATTCGTTCTTGACTTCGTTCCAGACCAAGGCACCGCCGACAGCGACGCCATCGTCAATTTCACCTCTTGGACACACCCGCCAGATCTCGACCCCGACCTAGTCCTGGAGGATTCTGGTACTCGCACACCATACCTGAAACAGAACGAACGAGAGCGTTAGCAACAAATCAGTCGGCAGCAGCAGAGACAACATTGGAAGCAACAGAGACAACATCGGCAGCAGCAGAGACAACATCAACAGCAGCAGAGACAACATCGGCAGCAGCATCGGCAGTAGCAGAGACAACACCGGCAGCAGCAGAGACAACACCAATCGCTGGTCCTTCAACAGCACCAGTCTTCATCGACGACACACCACCGACCCCTGCACAACAGTTGACTCCTACTCCACGAGATGTTCACAAGAGCGCTAACTTCACTGCCGGTTTCTACTCCAACTCCGACCTGTACAGGCGTTCACCAGGTCACCGCGCCAGCGAATCAATCTAGCACGCAAGAATGGGACATCTGAGCAACACAACGTTAAACAACACGATCAGGGCAGGAGTACGCGACGGCAGAGAGCTTCAACAAGTTCGTGGAACATGCTTTACCTGCCCTGAAGCCAACTTACCACATCAGCCGTTCGTCTCTCACCACAACCCGAGCGCCCCTGCATACGTACCACTGGAAAAGGTGTACAGCGATATACTGTACAATCACGAACCCGGACAAGGAGCGTATAACTACGTCATCACGTTCATCGACGCCGCTACATGATACGCCTGACACTTCAACATTCCGAGCCGCGACATGGCCTTCGAAGCTTTCGTCGACTGGCTTCCAGCAGCAGAACGGGAATCAAGAGTGAAGCTGATAAGCTTCCAGTCCGACGGGGGAGGAGAATATCAGTCACAAAGGTTCAAGCAGTACCTGGCAGAGAAAGGCATCAAACGACTCATCTCCCTTCCTTACGCCCACCAACAGCAAGGTGTGGCAGAAAGGATGAACAAGATCCTTCAGAACACCATGCGCAAATTACTGCGTGGCATGCGACTACCCAACCACCAGTGGCCCGAAGCAATGGACCATGCTGTAATGCTGCACAACTTGCTCTCGTCATCATCGCTCCCAAACAGTGCATCACCGCACCTGCTGTGGACAGGAAAATTGGGCAGCACAACAATGTTACGAGTTTTCGGGTGCATGGTACAGTACCGGCCTCCAACTGCACGAGCCGGCCGATTCTCCCAACGCGCACAGTGGGGACTACACCTGGGCATCGAAAAGAACTACAACGCGCAGAAGATTTTTTACGTCCACTCGAAGGAAACAGTAGCAGCACGTGACGTGATTTTTTTACGAACGACTCACCCTTCCAACATACCTTGCCAACTT